ACTATATGATATGTAAGATCTAATGTGAATCTTACTTTTATTATATTTATTATGTGATTATTATTAGATATTTTAATATTTTAATATTAAAATATCTTAATTTTTCCTTTTCCTATACATATTTATTATTAGATATTTTAATATTTTAATGTTAAAATATCCTAATTTTCCCTTTCCCTATACATAATTGTTTGATTATTTTGTGCTATCCATGCCTATCAAGTAGGCAACTTCTCTATAAAAACATGTTAAATGTGGTAAGAAAAATATTTCCCCTTTCTTTTAGTTTTCTGAATTTTTTATTATGATACAAATAAAAAAGAAAAGAGAAGCAAGAAAGTTTGAATGGCAATCATGTTATTTTTGTGTTTGAATGGCAATCATGTTATTTCTGTGAAAACGAGGGGTGTTTGGTGGAAAGAGACTCGTGAGAGAAACAGAATAAGAGAGCGGGGCGAACGAGAAAAGCGAGTGGGTTTTTCCGTGGTGGGGGATGCGCGTGTAATTTCGGCGACGATTGGAGCAGTTACTGGATGACAGGTAGTTTGGCCAATACGTGTCGGAAAGTTAGTGGGTGCCGCCTCCGGGAGATTTGAAATTTGATTCTACGCCACGTTACACAAAGAAAACTTGGCGTCACGTGCTCTGTAACGCTCCCGCGCTTCTGTTGCTTTTCTTCTGAAGCCAGGTGTTTTTTTTTCTTTTATCATGTTTAAAGGATAAAGACTAGGTTAAATGTTAAATTTAGTCCTTCAACTTTAAAAAATGTAAATTTTTTATCTCTCAATAATTTTTTACATTTTTTTGATCCCTCAACTATAAGAAATGCACTCCGTTAGTCCTTCTGCTAATTTGAGCTGTTAACTCCGCTTATGTGGCATTTTTTTTTTTTTTGATGATGTAGAGAGCAACATTTAGAAAAGTGATAATATGGACAAACATTTAGACATTTCATATTATCGTGTGCTAAATCCACCTAAATGGGTCCCACATCACTAATAAAGAAATTTGTCTTTAGATGACATGGCACCAAATTTATTCAAATGGGTCCCACATCACCAATAAAGAAAGATATCTTTTGATTACATGATAAATTAAGTGATATTTTTTATATTTTTTTAATAATATAACAAATTAAATTAAATATTTACCCAAATAAAAAGTAATATCAAATCAAATTTTATT